GTTGGACAAGGAAGGGTGATGGATGGAGGTAGTGAAAACATAATACTTGCTTTATGGGTCTGGTTGGGTTTTTTTGTGGAAAAGAGAAATAAAAACCAAAAGAGAAAAGCGAAGTGAGAGGGGAAGGTGGAATAAAAGGATGAACATGGGAAAGGGAAACCAGAGCAAACCTTCAGCTGAAGCCCACTGTTAAACGCTGTCCCACAGCCCAGGGAGAGGTGGATGGGGAGGAATTTTCACCACTTTGGGTGGTGAAAATCCCCCAAACGTCCCCAAATTGTGCCCCCAGCTGGAGAGATGGGAGGCAGGATGCAGCACCCAGGATGGCAGAGCTGGGAAGATGCTCCTTCCCCACCTGATGGATGCTCTCCCTAGGAGGGTACAGGGGCAAGTGCCCCTCACCCCCAGCCAAGCTCTGGGCTGGCACAGCAGCTCACAGCCTGTCCCCAGAACGGGTGACAAAATCCCAATTCGCACCCAAAGTGATGGGGGGAATCTCCCAAACAAGCAACATGAGGGGAGAAAAAAGTGTAGGAGGTGAAATTTTCAAGGAAAAGGTGGGTTTTTGTCAATTTACTTTTTCCTTGGTTTGCTGGAATTATTCAGGAGAGGAAGAGGGAAGTGCAAAAGGAGGAAGGAAAAGGAAAGGTGTTCTTTCTCTTTGCCCCGCTTTCCCCCAGGCCCACACTGCCACCAGCTCTGGATTCAACACTTCCACTGCCCTCAGAGCGCCTCAAACATGCCCAGCAGCAAACCCCCTCCCCAGGGCACCCCCAGAGCCCCCCTGCCACAACCACGACCCCCGTGGGGCTGGGGTGCCCCTCACACCCCCACGGGGCACTGCCAGCCTGCCCCGGCACCAAGCCCCTGGCGCAGACATCCTGCACAGCCGGGCTCTGCCAAAACCAGCCCGGGAGGGTCACCCCGTGCCCACGCTGGGCACCCGGTCCCCACTGACCACCCAATGCCAACTGACCACTCAAGGCCAACTGACCACCCAGTGCCAGCTGAGCACCCAATGCCAGTTGAGCACCTGGTCCCCACTGACCACCCAATGCCAGCTGAGCACCCAGTCCCCACTGACCACTCAATGCCAACTGACCACTCAAGGCCAGCTGACCACTCAATGCCAACTGACCACTCAAGGCCAACTGACCACCCAGTCCGCACTGACCACTCAAACCCAGCTGACCACCCCATCCCAGCTGACCATTCAAGGCTGGCTGACCACCCAGTCCCCACTGACCACCCAATGCCAGCTGACCACTCAACCCCAGCTGACCACTCAACCCCAGCTGACCACTCAACCCCAGCTGACCGCCTCCACAGCCCCCAGAGCGGGCAGGACGTGCCCACTGATCCATCACCATCCTCACTGCACCCAGGCAGTATTTTAGTGCCCTTCCCAGCACTTTAGGCTCCATCCATCATATTTCGGGTCCTGCTCCATCCCCAGATCCCCTCCGGGGCTGGGCAGGTGACTTCCCACGCCATCCTTGCTCCTGCAGCTGAGCCACACGCTGTGACCTTCTCCTTCCTCCCTTCCTTCCTCCTCCTCCTCCTCTCTGCCCCAAACCTCGCCCGCCCCGTGCCCCCAGGGCATGAACCCCCCGCTCTGCCCCACGGTGGCACAGCCCCCTGCCCAGCTCTGCCAAGCCCTGGGAAAGTCCAGCCTTCCCGGGCCGGGGCTCCCGGCCCCAGGCGCGCCAGCCCCCGGCTCTGCCCCCTGGCACCCCTGGCACCCCTGGCACCC